TCACTACGATTGTTACACATTAGACATGATTCTTAATTTGAAAGAATGAGGAAGATTTGAAAATGTGAGTTGGAACATAACTTCTTCCACATGTTATATGGATTCATGCGCAAAGTTTTACATTGGACAACAGTAAGGATAACCGTCTAACTGTCAATATGCAGTCCTTTTTACAGTTTCGCAGCAAATTTACTATTCATGGTCTGCTTTACTACCTTCTTACTATGCTTGCCTAACTCAACTTAGTGTGAAAGAATTGAACAATTAGATTCCTTATTCATCTGTGTTGTTAAGAATGAATCACCATCCAGCATTTTCCTTGTGTGGCTAGCCACGTGTTTTGGTTTTGGCTGAGTATGTTTTGATTTCCAGCAACAATGGAACTCACATCAGTGTTGATTCTTCTCATAACGATATATCTTTATGATGTTTTAGGCTTTTTATTTCCACGATTTTATAGTCAATGCTTTGGTGTTATCCTGCTATAGTCAGGGCATTATTCCCATTTCTTAGTTTTTAGTAACCTGCAGGTAGCTGAGAAGATACTAAACAACAAAGTGTTGGAGTTCTATAAATGGGAGGGCCAACTTCCCAACTGTTACGAAATGTGAGGGAGAAGTTGAATAAAGTTACAGAAGTGAGTTTCTTGTATCATGAATCTTTACCTGCTTACCCATAGGTTGTTGTTCTATAAGTTCACTGGGTGTCAACAATAATAAAATATGACATAAAATGGAGTATTTTAGTACAAAGCTTATTTTCTTCTTTATTTAAATCTGCTTACGGGGTATTAATTCAAGTCGACATTGTAAATAGTTTGCTCAATGGTTTTCGTCAGGGATGGACCCGAGAAGAAAAGAATCATTGTTTGGAAGAAACTGAGAAATCATTCAAGCTTTCAGGCGAAGTTCTGCGTCTGATATTAGTATCATGATGATATTTCTCTATTTGCTATTTGTGTAATTATTGTGTAAATAATGGCAAAACCTTGGAACATTGTGGGACAAGCAAATTTGTAGTTCAGTTTAAACCACAAATTAAATTTTATATTAGGCATTGAAAGTAGTACTACCTCCGGTCCTAATTATAAGAATTAGTTGACTAATTTGAAAAGATTAAGAAAAAAAAGTTAAATTAGTTATTTGTAATAAATATGTGTTGTATTTCTTTAAATGTCTTTACTAATCAAGTGTATTAACTAGAACTATTATTGTTAATAAGACTATATTAGAAAAAATATATATAAATATAAGAGACAAAATGGATTAGGGTTTTATATTTAGAACCAAAATAAAAGTTAAACAAGGTCTTATATTAAAGACCAGATGTAGTATATTATTATCAATTCATAAAGTTGTGTTTTTATCCCGGTCCAATTCATGAAGTTGCTATATATTTGTAATCATGCACGTTGTTAGCTCTTTCTTGAATATGTAAATTTTATTTTCAACTAGTAAAATTAATATGCATGTCCTCATGATTTTCACTTTATTTTTAATTTAGTTCTTGTAGTGTTTTTAAAATTTCTGTTGGGTTCTTATAATTTATTCAATATAGGTATTAATTTCTATACTTATAATTTGTAAATTTGTAAGAGAAACCAATTAATAGTTGATGATGGCTTATGAGAAGGATGAACTGGACACTTCTAGTAGGATTTTATTTTGGGAAAATGACACAAAAATAACATTTAAACTTCAAAATCCTAAAATGGTCACTTGAACAAGTAAAATCTCAATTTAGGTACAAGTAACCAATATGGAATTTGTAAATTTGTTGAAATGAACATATTATCTTTTTTTTTATTGTTTTTAAAAAACCAAATACCCTGACTAATTGGCAAGTCATTGGAGCTTCGGTGTTGGCAGCGGCTGCTAGAGCTCAAGTGGCCGCAATCACCAGAGCTCTAGTGCCGGCTGACAACTAGTTGTCAGAATTTCAGTGGTCGGCAACTTTTTTTTTTTTTGAAAATTTTTACAACTTAAGTAATATAGTTAACAAATTCTATAACATTATTAACAAGTTCAGTATAGTAGTTAACAATAGGTTTTTTAGGAAATTCAAAATGTAATATTTTTATAACTTTAGTAATGCTGTTAACAAGTTTCATAACTCTATTAACAAGTTTGGTATAACATTTAACAGGAGGTTTTCTAAAAAATTCAAAAAGTGGTTTTTTTTTTTTATAACTTTAGTAAAGTGGTTAATAAGTCATTAGTGATATTAATAACTCTTATAACCATAATGGTTGCCTAACAAGTGAAAAAATTTTGTTGTACAACATTTATAGAGAGCTAATATTAAAAACATTAACCATGTTATTGAAGTTACAAAAATGCTACTTGTTGAATTTCTCAGAAAATCTGTTGTTAAATGCTATACCAAACTTGTTAATAGAGTTACGGAATTTGTTAACGACATTACTGAAATTGTAAAAATGCTATTTTATAAATTTCGTAGAAAATATATTATTAACTGCTATATTGAACTTGTTAAAAATGCTACTTTTTAAATTTGAATTTCTCAAAAAATATGTTTTTAAATACTATACTGAACTTGTTAATAGAGTTACGGAACTTGTTAGCGATATTACTAAAGTTGCAAAAATACTAATTTTTAAATTTCCTGAAAAACTTGTTAACTGTTATATTGAACTTGTTAAAAATGCTACTTTTTAAATTTGAATTTCTCAGAAAATCTATTATTAAATGCTATACCGAACTTGTTAATAGAGCTATGAAACTAGTTAATGGTGTTACTAAAGGTGTAAAAATGTTACTTTTTGAATTTCTTGAAAAACTTGTTGTTAACTACTATGTTGAACTTGTTAAAAATGCTACTTTTTGAATTTGAATTTCTTAAAAAATCTATTATTAAATACCATAGCGAACTTGTCAATGGTATTACTAAAGTTGTAAAAATGCTACTTTTTGAATTTTTTTAAAAAACCTGTTGCTAACTGCTATACCGAAATTGTTAATAGCATTACAAAACTTATTAAACATGTTATTGAAATTGTACAAATTTTCAAAAAAAAAAAAAAAGTTGCCGGTCACTAGAGCTCCAACGACCAATCATTGGTGATGGTGATTGTCGTCGACACTAGAGCTCTGGTGACCAGCCAACCAGTAAGAGGATTTGGTTTTTAAAAAACAATTAAAAAAAAGACAATATGATCATTTCAGCAAATTTACAAATCCCAAATTAGTCATTTACACCTAAATTGGGATTTTGCTTATTCAAGTAACCATAATTGGGAATTTCAGGTTTAAGTGTTATTTTTGTGCTATTTTTTCTTTTATTTTTGAATAAAATTTATTTATTTATTTTTTATTTATTTCATCTATTCCATGATTGGAGCAGGAAATACACGTTACATCATGATTTTAAGTCAGAAGAGAGATTTCATGGAGCGGCAAATCTGTTTTGTCCATCAATATCAGCATGCACCTGAATTAATTTTGCTATATAAATCTAAATTAACCAAATTACAAATTATATTTAAAATCGAAACGGGCCTTTCTATTGGTTCTTACATGCGGGAGCAAAACAAACAGTATAGAGCATAAATAAAAGTGGTCTATGGGCCTAGCACGCAACTCAGAGTGAAAGATGGATAAAAAGATTCAACAAGTCCCGACACTACTAACAGGATTAGATTTAACGGAATTGGCTAATTTCTCATAATTTGGTAAACTAAGATTTGAATCTCTATTAGAAAAAATATCCACGTTTAGTGTTCAACAATATTTCATACATGATTATCTTTAATCAGATAATACCTGTGCTTACCACACAAAAAAAAAAAAAAACCCAACAAGTGCGACTAGCTAGTCCTATTCTTTCAAATTACCCCCGAGGCCTTTGATAACTTAGCCTCTTTGCATTTCCGATCAAGCCAGGCTCACCCAATATTTCCATCCAACCGGCTAACCTAGTTTGATTTTCTAAACAACAGAACAAAAAAAAAAAAGGGGATGAGAACAGAGTTGTTTATATTTTATATTTATTCCTTTAGATTCTATTATATATATAATTAAATATATCAAATGCCTTCTACCTTTTCCAGCTCTCCTTCACTGTCCAGTCTTCATTATCAAAACCAAAATTAAATCAAAATACTCGGTCTTGCCTTCCATTTTCAATCATTGTACTTAACAAGGGCAGAATTCCCCTTCCATGCTACCCGCGAATCTTCAACAATCAATTCTCAGTTTTTCACTGCAGAAAAAGGACTTTCAAGTGGTTGAGGAAATACATAACTCTGCAGCAAAGGTGGTGGTTGAATTACAAAAACGGGCATGTTGCTAAAGACCCCTTTTTTTTTTTTTAAATTATATAAGGCAAAAATATTTGAGGTCACAATAAAATCAAACTCACAACCTTTCACTATCATGGACAGGCTCTGGGCCCTAGGCCATAAAGCCCCATAAGAGCTAACGACATTTTTCAAACTTGTCAAACCTCAATTAGACCATCATCAACCTGATCTTTTAAACATTCACCAATAAAACTTTGCGAACTCATTCAATAATGCAGGTTTACAATTAGTTCTTCACAAGATAATGAACTAAAGTTTGAATGCCTACTAAAAGAAATCCCACATTTAGTGTTCAAGTACCTCGGACATAATTACCTCTAATAGGAGGATGATTATACTCGGCACCAAAAAAAAGGAAAAAAACAGAGCAGGCTATGCCATGGTTCATCGGAGCTTTTGGAAGGACAAGCACAGAAGAGATGCCAAAGCGAGGAACAATTCTTCCATGCGATGGACCGGCGTGAAGGATTTTCAGCCACAACTACATTTTTGCTGTCCCAGAATCTTCATTCCATCAAATTAAGGAAGACGTCTTCTTTCTCATACAAATGACACCATCCTCTATCCATGGGAATGATGTTTATGGGCCCTTATGGCGAACCAATCACGCTTAAGCAAGGAATGGAAAGAAAATTTCCGTTTCTAGGGCCAAGATTCTCGCAACCAAACGAGCAGGAAATATTGGAAAAATCTAGCAGGTATGCACTGAATGAAGTCATAAACATCAATCAATACAAAACGATTCTACACTTCCCTTGCTTCAAGGTAATATTGTGAAAACCGTGAAACAGATGCTGTTTCTTACAGACACAATTACATATGGCAATATTTAGAAACAAAACAAACAAAAATCAACAGAGGAACATTTGATCCACCTTTTCTCTCTATAGGCAATCTTGCGACTCTAATCATCAAATGAGCTCAAGAATCCTCCCAGAAAACCAGCTCCATTACACTCTCCACACAAAACCTGTTTCTTACCCCTGCAAGACATGCATATTGGAGAGCTTTAGATAAAAGAAACTAACACCTACTAATATATTTTCAAATTCTGAGATTTGCACTTGTTCAAATTCAATTTTGTAATTTAGCAAAGTCGCCTAAACTTTGCCTAAGAGTAGTGGGACATTATACAGCAGTTGCAACTGAAGCATATAACTAAGGAGAAGCATAAGATGATGCAACTATTCTTATCACCAACTTCTCTGCTTCACTAATTGATTTGGTTAACAGAAGAAAATGAACCCAGTTTAGACAGAGCTATGCGTAATATATTGAAGCGTAGCTACACATGCATCATGTATAAAAACAAAGGCGCAGAATGAGTGGATATCCATATGCATTGTAACATGCTGATGCAAGGTGCTGGAGGCGGAACATATGCATATATGGACTTAATTATTCACTGAAACACAGCATAAGATAGACACGTTCGCACAGGACAATATTAAGGGAAGGACAAGATGAGCATTTGATGCAGCTACCTGCAAAGCCAACATAGTCCACCAGCTTTAAACTGCCCATTGAAGTGATCTACAGAATTAACTCCACTTCCTTTGCACTGAGAACATGATATGGCACCTAGAAATTGAACCAAAAGAATAAATCATGGGGAGTCTAATGCTGACGTTTGTACTTCAAGGGAAAAATCTCTGCAAGTCCACCAGTTCACTAAGAAATTTGGAAGCACCGATGGCGTTTAAGGCTGAAGATGCAAAATATAAATCCTAAATATGCATTAAAGGGCAATGCTAACAAAAAGAACAAGAAATTTCCCTAATTAAATGCGTAGTAGGCACAACATTATCAGTAGTAACTAGATGATAATGCATCAATGTGTCTCTAGTTTAATCAAACTGACTAAACAATGAACAATCAGATTCTAGAAGTGACGTAATTATTTCAAATGCTCCACCACCAATGTAAAGATCTACATATGGGAGTACATGAAAGTAAATGCTAATTTTCAGATTACCCAATACAAAAGATAAGTCATGACCAATCTACTATGTCCAAACATCACAGTAAAAGCAATGTGAGGATATCACTGAGCATATATCAGTATTCATAGGAAAAGCTAAGGAATCGCTCAACAAGAAAGAAACCACTCGATAATCAACTTTTTCCTTGAGTCTATGTTTTACCATCTAGTGTTGGTACTAAACTAGCTGCGATGCATTTAATCACATGGAGATATAACTGCAATAGTTGGACATGTTCCAATCAATAGAAAACAATTAAAACGACAATAATCCCAAAGTAATTGATACGATACATTTACTTACCATTCCTTCACAGTTAGAACAAACGATGCTCTTTGCTTTGGTGGTGCTTTGATTATTATCATTAGTAGCCTGTATTCGAGCAAGATTAGAGTGTGCTTTAAAACAATTTGTTAGCATGATAACAAAAACTTTGTCAAGTAATACATCTTCATATACATTGGCCAATAATTTCAAGTCCTTAATCAATGTCATAGCATATGACACTAGCCACCAAATCCTCTCATAGAACCTCAGCTTGCTTATTGCCTACCTACTTCTTCCGAACAAATCCCAAAGAAACCATGAATCAACGTCATCAAATATGTCGAGTTTGCAGTCAATAACCCAGGCATCATGAACCATAACAGCCATAAAATTCACTGACCGCCAGCTAATTACCCCATGATCAACATAAATTCAGCTAACCCAGCATTGCTCCTTGCTTTACAGCAACAGTAAAGGCAACGGTTTATTAACTGTGCGGTCTTCATCACACTATGTATCACAAAAACTACACAGAAACTGATCTCACATGACACGTTCGAGCAAGAGAATCCCTTTATTAACTTGTATCAGCAATAATCAATAAGCGTATCCTTTCTAAATGGGAAGCTGAAAACAACCTCTCACCTTGATTTCGAAAGACTGTAAGTTGCGAGCTTTAGAGATCTGACATGCTTCGATTATCTGGAAAGCCTTTCGGTCGACCGAATTGCGGGTCACTATCCCTATTCAAATTAATTAAAAAGCATTCAATAACACAACATTCGCAACCTCGGAAGTTCGAGAAGGTTCAGAAAGTCAAGAATACCTGGTCTGTTTGAGGATTTCAAGGAACAAATTGGAGTGGAGAATAGAGGATCGCCATGTACTGGAGTTCAAATGCCTTTGCAAAGCCTTTGCTTTCTCAGAAGAAAAAATATCGAACGGATTACCAACCAAAGCCTGAGGCTGAAGTGTGTGCTTTTAGCCGTCTAGTGGCACCGAACCCAACTTGAAAGTTGAAACAGATAAGGCCCTCTTCTCCGCGGTCAAGTTTAGGTTCGTATTCCGCAAATGCCCTTGAACAAATCCCGAATTCCCCCGTGTATTCCATTTCTTACGGCTAAAAAAGGTGGGTATTAACGTAATACTATTCACCCCAAATTGCATCCCCCACAGAAACCAAAAAACAAGGACGTAAGCAAAATTGGAGACTAAAAGAAATGGCGAGCTCTCTGTTGTCGGTTTATCGCTTTCTTCCCTCGCGAAGTAAGCTTAATGACATTTATGCATTATTTTAATCTCTTTTGTTGATTAATTTTGTATAACTTTTATAGGGTTTTCTTTGAATCTTACAATTAATCAGGAATTGTGATAATTCTTCCATAGGATATACAAGCTGAAATTTGGGCTGTTCTTCCATTTTCATGGGGAAACATTTGATTTGGAGCTAATTGCGTATACTTTATTTGTTTTGTTCTAGAAAAGGAAAATGTAGGATACGTTACTGACATCAAGACATCGTTGTGCGGACAAGTACTGTGTGATCCCAATTCTTTGAGAAGAGAGATAGCTACTCGCCATGGAAGCCGTCTTGTGGTTTCCTCACTGGTTACTACCGAACTCTTCCACCAATATATGCACATATATAGTTATACATAGTTTAGTGATTTACAAGAATCATTATTATGATTAAAATAAAAATTCCATAATTTTAATTTTCTAGATGTAAACATGCCGATATAAGGATGCTCAGAGCAGCAATGCTTACATGGTTTTAAATCGTAGTTTTGGTTTTAGTTGTGTAATTCTCGCTGTTGATTTTCTTTGTCGACAGCTTGGAAGGAGAGTCAAGACCAGAGAGACTGTGATTCCCGACCCAGATTACCGAATTCCAATTGTTTTGCTCGGTAAAAACTGGTTCTTCCTTGTCTTATATGTGCCTTAGCACACATTAGCTTTGCGAGGGAGCAATAGCCCTTATAACAATGAAGAGTTCTAATTGACTAGAAATAGGTCCATAACTTAATGTGTTTGAAGTTAAACACGAATGCATATTGTTCTCCGGGAAAGATGAATGTTGAAAATGGTAGTCAAAATAATACTTGGATGACCTGTACATTAATTGAGATATCAACTAGACTATGGTGACCCATGAATGTTTGTAAAACTTTTCTTGGTAATCAACTTTCATTGCTTGTTGGGACTAATATCATCTAGAATTTCATAATCGTAAGCAGCCACGCAGCAAGTATAGAGGCAAGCAAACTATTCTTTCACTTTTTACCGAAGAACTTTATTGCTATAGCTCTTTGCTTGGGGTGGTGATGGAAGGTTACAATCTTAGAAGGCAAGAACTTGATTCACACACACACCACACACTCATCTCCTTCAGTGTGCTGTCTTCTTCTTGGGTATTGGTCATCAGGTGAATGTTTACAACTATAAAGAAAAGGAAAATTCCTTTATGAGGAATGGCTCCTGAAAATTGCAGCTTTGTGCACTGCAAATGTTGAGGATGCTGGGATCTAGTGGTTCCCCTACCGTGTACCCCAGTGACTTTTTGAGTTCATGATTTATTGGCTACCTTTATGTGAATTTTTTGTGAGAATAACAAATATTAAATGAGAATTCTATGTTTTATTTTGTCCTTGACACTTATAAAATGATAGTTATTACTCTATAAGTTGATATTGATTGTGCACTTTTGTTGTTTTTGGGGGGGGCATAATAAAAGAGAAAGAAAGAATTGCCTAAGGTTGTTCCATATTCTGTCCTTCTTTATTCTAAAGTAAAATTTAATAGATATGTACTTAAGTATCATATCAGGTATAACTGGTGGGTTGGCTTACACAAATAATGTGGTTCCTGCTATCCCTGTTGTTCTCCTCGGTTTGCTTCTGTTAGTCCAGGTAATATCAATAATTGAACTTGTAATTAAGTGGATGAGGTTTAATTAGTATTACATGTTAGAGAAGCTTTACAGGCTGCAAGTTATACTACTCTAGATCTGTTTTAGCTGCACTACTTTTCCAGTTCTAACTTCTAAGAATCTAGCTGAGTGCTTCTCTTGTGATGTTTCCTTTCGTTTCCTCAGACCACTAGAGTTAGATTCGTTTTTGATGATGAGGCTCTGGTAAGTTCTCTTCTCACCTTCCCGAAACTGTGGTTATTGTTTGTTATTATCTTCGTGTAAATGTAGTTTTACCATTTCAGGTTTTGGTTTTTATCATTATTGACAAATAAAATTAGCATTAGTCTACGAACTTTATGGTTTCAGGCGGTAAAGGTCGGTGACGAACTCAAGGAATCAGGTGAAAATGTCTTTGTAGGTGGGAAAAACCGTTGGAAGTAAGTGGATAATTTAGTATGAAAATCTAATGAAACTAGGATTTCATAAAAGCATGAGAAACAAAACAAAATTTGCTTGATGCGCTTCAGGTATTCAACATTTGTTAATTGGGAGTTTTGGTGGCCTAACTTCCCTATCTTAGTGTACTTCAAGGAGAAACAAACAAAGCCCGAGGGACAAATTCATTTCTTCCCTATAATCTTTGTAAGCAGTCTAGAACTTCAAGCTTTTGACATTTTGTTTCCCTTTCTGTTTTTGTTTTTAATTTGATCGTCACTGCTTTGTTAAAACAAGCAGAATGGGAAGCAACTTTACGATGTCATGGTGGAAAGAGCTGGCTCTTCCCAAAACAGTGGACCAAAAGAATCTTAAGGAATAAGCTTTTGTATCTGAGTTACTTTCATTCTATAGATCCAAGGTACAACAAATTCTGTGACCCTGTACAGGTTGAAGTTATGTATTATGTCTATCTTATGTAAGAGTAACTTTATACTGTGTAATAAATAAACTTCATTTTACATTTAATGCGGAGGGCTCCATTTGAAATCACAATTATATTGTTTTAATCTTCTATAACTTGGCATGTCCTCCAATGGGATTACTAGTATGATAGTCTTACTTATTCTCAATAGTCAATTTGTGAGATGTTTCATTTGAACGATTTATTTTCTTGGGGCGAAAGCTTTTCCACTAGCAATGAGTAGATTTTTTTTTTTTTCCTTAAGGAAAAAATATATGTACACTTGATTTGCATTCTAACACCCAGATTCTTTCTAGTGACAAAAGGATAAAATAAATAATTAAAAAAGACAGATAGGAATCACACTTATTAAACTGAATTCGAAAAGTGATAATTAAAAAAAAAATCACCGAGGTCCATAGAATTCACGGCTTATAATTACTGCCGGGGAAAATCGATCTAGAGGTCCTTATAATTTTATCTCAATCCTGTATTAGATTTTTGTAATTTATTGTTCCAATTGAATCCTTATTATTTGATCCAATAATTTCAATTTATAAATTTTATGAAACGCGCGTGTTAAAATGATGTAAAATGAATTGAAAGAAATTTCATAAAATCTATGAAATTCTATAAATTTAAAATAACTAATTTCACGTTCAATGATAATGTTTAGAGAGAATCACTACGAAATTTTCAAATAAAAAACATAATACTAAAAGGTTTCCGTGACAACATAACAGCCTATAATTGATAAGCTTCAAATTGCAAAATGATAACTGTTTACTTGTTATTGATACTTATTAGTAATTTTTTTTTTTTTGGGACTCAATTATAATTCTTCCTAATGTTTATAACAGATTAAACTAAAAAAAGTTCAATTCCAATTTGAGAAGTTAACACTTCATAATACCAAAATGGGAGGAAATCGCAAATTGTCATTTTAAAATTAAGGACAATTGACACCAATGCCTTTTATTAAAAAAAGTCTTTAAAAAAAAAAAAAAACCCAACCCCTCACCAATACTCGCGGTGCCCATCATTGGCACCACCCTTTAGTGGTTTAGGCCAAAATATTGCATAATTATTGGGTTACCAATGTCTTGCTATCAATATAATCCAAAACATAATATAAGTTATCTTCTCAATTTTAACTACCTGGTTGTTGACAATTTTTTATTAAGAAAAAACAATACCACACCACAGTTTAACAACTTTTGATTAAGAAATAACAGACTACTTTTTCAGATTATCAACAGCTTTTATAAGGGTATTAACTGTATTTCAATAGGCATTAATAACTTTTAATTAAGAAATAACAACATCACAATAAATAACAACCCATTTTTTCAAGTTATGGACGAATTTTGTGTGGGCATTGATTAAATTTCAATAGGTATTAACAACTTTTGATTAAAAAATAACATCACAACACATCTTTAACAATTTTTGAAAAGAGATTAACAAGTGGCTTTTTTCTCAACTGAAAATGCATTCTCACAAGCAAATCTCACTTCCTTTTTGCCGCCACCCTACGCGCTTACAAGTTGAATTGCCAAATTCTTTGAGTGACACAGAGGGCTTAATTACTTCTTCGTTTACGATAATTTGTTGCTTCCAAATACTGGCCTCAGCTCATGAGTAACAAGATGGACAATGGATAGCTTCTCCATTCATTGTTCATTTCAACGTTTATGCAGTTTGGTTATATCAGAAAGCGTCCAACGGCCGACATTGGTAACCATTTGAAGCGGCATGTGATGTGAGGCCAATTGACCATTAGCATTTGTAATTTCACTACATCTGACATACATTTGAAGAAAAAATGGATAAATCAAATTTCAAACAAAAGAACAGGAAATCAAACCTACAAGCTCCTAGAGAATACACCTCAAGCTGCAGATCTATTTCCAACTCATATCACTGTGTGAGATTCATCAAGATATTCTGAAGCCTGCTGTTAACCATTCAATCCCTAACTCAGTCTCGCTAGCATTTGTAATCAAGAGAAATTCTTACCCAATGCTCTTTTGTATCATAGATAGCTGAAAGGAGCTAATCAAAACTGATTAAAATGAATATGCCAGCGGACCCCACCATCCATCGAGAGAAAATTTTGAAGAGGAAAGTTATGTTGAAGCCTTCTTGGTGCAATGAGCATCTGTGCCATGCTGAGTACAATCATGATAACCCACAGTTTTGAGAAAGTCGCGAATCTCTTTTGCACTGCTATTACTCGCCTGCAACAAGCGCTCATCTTCCTCATATATGAGATATGGGGCCTCACTTCCTTTTCTTGAGAGAAGCTTCGATGCTCCTTTAAGCACATGATATTCCCATCCCTGAACATCTATTTTCAGCAGAAGCACTGTCTCCGACTCAGGAATTACTTCATCTAGAGGAACAGACTTTACTTGAAGAGCTATCTCTTCATTGGATTGAAATGCCAACTTTGCACCAGTTGCAGAAACAGCACTATTGTCCAGCCGACCAACCAACTATAGCAGATCAGCAAAATATTATAAGTTTGCAAAGTGTTTTTGAAGTGAAAGAGAAATAGAGAGAAAAAAGTGGATATAAAGAGCAAGAAAATGGGTTCCGCGTGCTCATTCTTTGCGTCATTTCCTGTAATACTTAGTTAAGATCCAAATGACTCATCTTTATACTGGAACTACGTAGTCTCAAGTTCTAACCAAACTACAAATGAGAATGAATTTGTGTTGTAATTTTGTCAAACTATTGACAGCTTCAACCACGAAGCAGAGAAGCATTATTTTAAAATAACTTCCACCGTGACAAGTGATAAATTGCGCATGGTACAGACTTTAGGAGCCTTAGAGAATTATGATTCAACAGTATATCTAGAAGATATTGTTAACGCTTATAGATGGATCCATCCAAGCCCATCCAATTAAAGCCGTAAGCCACAACTTTAGCTGTGCATATTAGTTAACCATTATTCACAAGTCAATATCAATAGCCTGTACCAGGGTTCCCCAACTGATCTTTCAGTATCTTGCTATCACCTACAGACCACTGCCTCCGGTCCTAAATGGGGTCTTATAATTAAGACGAGAGGTAGTACAATTTTCTAAGTTTCTGACACAGCTTCACACATCAAACTTACATGTATGCCTCAACTTCATTAAATATCTTCATACACAGATTGAATCTATTCCGCTTGAATTCGGATCCTAGGGTGCCTCAGAATGCAAGAATAAGTAATTGTTCGGAAATTAAGATTAGAAGCAACTCGAGTAGAAATAAACCTTGGAGGTATGCTACTCAATTTCCAAATCTAAATTTATTGATTTAGAAATGAAGCCTAAGCTAAGCATTTAGCCAGTTACTCCCCTCACTTAAAATTAATCCCCGACAAGCTAAGCCATTTTCTGCCATCTCCCACTAATTCGTACTTCACCATATAAACTAAGGAAAATCAAATTTAATGCAAGAAATCAATCAATAGCAATCGTCAAGAAACAGTACCTTGTGAAAGGTAATGTTACCAAGCCGATCCGATGCTGCAGCCTGAAATAGAGTGACCAATTCCGCCACCCTATTGAAGTAAATCCCTTCACAAATCTTCTGCAAGTTCTCGAAAACAGGTTCGAATGACAGAACCCGAAAACCCATAGCCGAGGCAGCGAAGCTTGCCATCCCCACATTGGCGCCCACATCGACAACAAAACCATCTCGTCCTTCGCTTTTCATCCTCTCCAAAACATCCTGAATCGTTGCCGAAATATCGGGTTTCCTAAAACGTTTCCCTTTGAGGATTCTGACAATGTTCTTGTGAGGCTTGTCAGGCAAATTTCCGAAATCGGAAAGGGAGTACAGAAACGGGTATCGAACGCCTTCGACGGTGCTAGCAATCACCGGGTGTGCTTGTGGAGATTTGATGCAATCGAAAGGAGAAATCGCGTGGAACGAGAGACGAGTGTCTACGGCGAGGAAGCCAGGACTGGGATTGGAGGGGCGAGTAGTGAGGGAAAAGAAGATAAAGAGAAGGATAAGAGAACCAGAGAGAAGTAGAAGGAGGAATCTCGGGGAGCGTAGTCCGGAGGGTTTATCTCTTTTCCAGGCATTTGCCATGGAAAAGGAAATTAGCACTTCGTGGGGAAAAAACTTTCCGGGAAAACGTAGGATTTTGAAGGAAAATGCAATCTTGATCAGTCAAGCGCAGCAGAAGCCCTTTGATCTATTTGGGGCAGCTTATTTCAGAACATTGCGTTTTCAGAATCCAAGATCGAACAAATGGGAGAAAACAGAAAACACAGAAAAGTTGTGCACACTACTGGCAAGAAACAACCGCTACTTTCTGCCAAGAAAATTTCTTTGCAGTCGAAACAGCTATCCACCTCGTCCTAGCTCATGGCACATAAAATCCTAAATATGACTTATTTTATAATACAATTTGTATTATAAAATGAGTCTTATTTTTAATAGCAGAAGAGTAACTAATCTGAGATTTGATATTAATCTTATACATAAGATTTATTTTACCTATTTATCAATTTTTTTAATTGATCTTATTAATATTTTCTCAATAATAATTAAATAGGAAAGGGAGAAGGAATTAAGAAATAATATTAGAGTATTTAAGAAAAAATCATATTAACTAACTGGGTTAATACATTTAGAAAAAACAGATCATATTAACTAGTTGGGTTAATACAAACTTTGATCATTCAAATTTATTCTTATTTTGGTTTTAGTTTCTCAAGGGCAAACTTGACGAATCAAAGATTATATTAATCCTAACTAATTTAACTAACATCTTTAATTTATTCAAATTGGTTATTTAGGCTTCTGGAGGAGTTTTTTTTTTGTAATAACTTTTTTTTTCAATAAATACTACATCTGGTCCTTAAATGAAGAATTAGTTTGACATTCAATTTGATTTTTAATATAAGACCTAAATCTACTTTATCTCTCATATTTATCTATTTCTTTCCAAGGATAGTTACACATGTTAAATATTTCATCAAATGGTAATTCTAGCTAATACACATAATTAGCAAGAATATTTTAGAAAAAATAACACATATTTATTATAAAGAATTAACTTAAATAATTTTCTTAATTTACTCAAATTAATTAACGAATTCATATTTAAGAACAGCAGGTATAGTTGATTAAGTTAATATTTTATAATATGAATAATAATGCCAACATTCACTAGTTAACGAGACAGATTTTTTGTTGTTAGTGCTTTCTTTTTTGGGCTTTTTTTCCTATGTTTATTTATTTGTATTTGTTTTCTTCTTTTTTTTCGGTTACAAGAGAGGGGATCGAACCCCTACCCACACACTCCACACACACCCACCCATACCACTAAACCAAACGGTTCGGTTGTATTTGTTTTCTTTGTTGCTTTCCATTGTTGCCTACTGAAGGTTTGTAGAGCTTTTGAAGCTTTCTGTGCCAACAAAAGTTGTCAGAAAAAATGAGATGCATACCTGGGCTAAACGAAAAAGAAATAAGAAAAATGAGATGCATAATTTATAATTTGAGAGTATTTGACTCGCTCAATTTGTGAGAGTTTAAAAGAAAAAAAATCTTTTTACCTTTAAAAAATAAAACTTTTTTCATATATTTATCTCATATGATGTAGAATTAATTTGTTAAATTAACTAATCCAAATACTTCCTCTAAGAACCAGCCAATCAATTCACACATATCAATAAAAACAATTAAAAGCATTAAATTTATTATAAGTTTTAAGTAATTTTCAGTGCATCATATTAATTTATATCATCTCACCACTCTCATTAAATACGGACATATATGAAAAGAAATTATTTAATGCTCATCGCAATTATCAAAGAATCTTATAAAAAGAACAAAAAATTTCTTCTCAGATGGCTCATATAATAAAGACCAGGGGGAGTAGTACTTATTATAAATTTTATTATATGATTCCCCTGCTCGATATTATAAAAAGTCTTATAGAAGATATTTTTAGTTCATTTTATAAGATGTTTTAATAATTTCAATGAGTCTTAAAATATTTTTTTTTGATATCTTCCCATATTTAATAAAGGTCATGTGAGAGAGAGGAGAAATTAATATGATATTAGAATTTAGTACAGTTAATAAGGGTAATATGAAAAATTATTAAATTTTATAACAAAATTAATGCTTGGGAAAATCCCTTAAAAAGATGCTTAAATAATTCAAATCCTTGTTTGGGTTACTGAATATGTCAAAACTTTAATCAGGTCACATAATCTAGAGAGGAATTTTAAAATTTTATGAAATGACTTTATGCCCTTTTCATTAGAAACCTAAGGACGTGAGAATTTTCTATGACTTCCACATTGCGTAAGACCTTTGAGTAGGAAAAACTTGGTGTCTACGTTATAAAATCGAAAAGTCAATCAAGGAGATAACTACGAGTTAGATTTTACATTAAATATTTTTCTCAATTCTAATAGTTTTATCCTAAGAAAAAGTTAATTTAAAATTGAAACATGTTAAGTGTGAAATAGAATATGTTAGTTTTTAGTATTGTGTATTCAAAAACTTATTATAAGTATATTGTGAAAACAGAAATTTGTTAATTTTGAATTGAAACTTGTTTAACTATGCAATGGAATATGTTAGTTTTTAAAGTTATATTGTAATCAAATTTTATTCAAAAACTTAATATTATTGTGTTATGGAGACAAAAAGTTGTAAATTTAGAATTAAAAAATGTTAATTATGAAATGAAATTTGTTAATTTTTAAGATTGTGCTGTGATCAAGTTTTATTCAAAAACTTATTGTAACTGTGTTTTGGAAACATAAAGTTGTTAGAATTGAAACTTGTTAACTATATAATTGAATTTATTATTTTTTAAAATTGTATTATGATCAAGTTTTACTCAAAGATTTACGTAACTCATCATGGAGAAGAAACGTTGTTAATTTATAATCAAACTTGTTAATTACGAAATAAAACATGTTACTATAGAATCTTCTCTATTGGTTTATAATAAAATAGGTGTTAAAGTCATTTCATAAAATTTTAAAATCCTTATTTGAGTCATGTGACCTAATTAGGAGTTTGACAAATTTAATGACCCAAATAAAAATGTAAGTTATTAAGATGTCTTTTTAAGAAATTTTTCCTTAATGTTTTAATTATTTTCATTGATATGTTTAAATTAATTAGAAAATTCTTATGTTATGAATTGATGGAAGTATATTCATTAATAGACTCTTTTCTTCAAAAAAAAAAAAAAACAGATTGTTCAAAGACGAGGTGGAATTTATAGGTGAGGAGCCCACTTGTAAGGTAGAATATATATGGAAAAGGGTGCCTCCATCCCATTTTAATCATTAAAATTGTAATTTGAATACATTTTATATTTTATAAAATAAATTTTGTTAAATATTTTTTATTATTTTAAATTATCATTGATAAAATTTATTAGTTTAATTTTATTTATATATTTTTTAAAAACATTTTATCAATAATTTTATAAAATATAAAATCTGAACCATTCAAACTTTAATCATATAATTTAAATGAGAGGTGGAGGAGAGAAGTGGAGGAACCCTCCTAGAAACACGATAACCTAGTAAAACATATCTGTTACATGCTCTCTCCTATTCTTTTTATAAGGGAAAAAAAATTAAAATTAGTTAAAAGTAATAAACATGTGAGAAATGGATTTTTCTTTTTTTGCAGGTCTGTCCTTATTTATATGAGGCAAGTAACAGGAAAAAAATAGAATAATGATGCACGGACGGCTTCAACCTGTACAATGCTTCTCTCATCTTGGTATGGATGCTCATGGTGGTCTTCCTAGGTGCATTTTTACATGGACACATATTGGCTGCTAGGCTTTCTGTTTGCGTGCTGGGCCTGCGCCTTGATGCTTCATGGTTTTTTTTTTTTTTGTTTCCATGATTGGATGTAGTATATGCATAAAATATTGTTGGATTCCTGGGGTTAACAATCGCGTTAAAGGAGAATTTTGACGAAGAATTGCTTAAATTAAATAAAGGTTAAATAAAGGTAAGATAAAGACAAATAATTACATCAAGAATATGGGCTCAAGTTGTTTGACAAGGTTGCATGTGAAGCATTGGCGCTTGTAAAACTCAATTGCTGTGTTACACGAGGAAATTAATATGTTAAGGTTTAACAAAAGCAAATCATTTCACAACATAATACATTAGATACGAAGCCCAATAAATAGATGGAAGAGGTTGTCATTAGTTTTGAGAGCAGACTCAACCATTTGCCACCAACTCCTCATAACCAATAAGAAATTGTTGACAAGTAGACAAGGCTTTTGAAAGCACTGAAATGATTATGTTATGAAAACTTGATTTTTGAGAGAACATTTTTCTTGGAAAACTCATCATAAGATCCCAATCACTACTTTTAACAAAAATCCTAGATCATAAAGGCGAATAATAACATTCTTTCTTTAGATAATCAAGTCGATTCTTCTCTTCATTCTTATAATTTAATGATATTTCCATATCTACAAAACAATCTTCTCTACGTTTTCTAATCAGCCAAAAATGATAATTTAACATATCACAGAATCTACTACTCTTATGTTCTCTTGGAATGTATAATCTACATTCATGAGTGTAAAATATAATGCTACACCTATTTTCACGTTATAATAGGGCTGCACAACGGACCGGACCGGACCAAAGCCCAACCCAAAGTCTAGTCTGATTTTTTGGTCGGACTGGGTTTGATAGTCTGTGGTCTGGTCTGGTCCAGTGATGACCCGAGGTCGGGTTGGACTGGACTTGGTCTACCAGACTGGTGGACTGGTCCAGGCAGTCCAGTTGTCCAATTTTCTTTCTTTTTTTTAATTTTTTTCTTTATGAGAAATAAGATTTCTACATGATAAATACAATTAAAACAATAAAAAATACCTATAATCATATGAAACTCGTCCTAAAATATTAAGACTTCATTATAAATACATAAAAATATCTAAAAACATTAAAAACAATTAAAGGCACCATCTAAATTACAAATTATTGAAAAATAAAAAATTCACCTAGACTGGACTGGACTAGTCTAGCCCGACCAACTAGTCTGGTCCAGTCTAGTCTAATTCCATTATATAGTTAATTTGGACTGGACTAGACCGGACAAGACCACTTTGGGTTAGACTGGACTGGACCGGACCACCGGGTTTTTGCACACCCCTACGTTATAACTTGCGCCTTGAAGCATCCTGTAGCACACGTTATAATTCACAAAATCTGCTTGATCATAGGCTGACCTTGATGAGCAGTTGATTTCAGTTGACTTTTTAAATTTGTAGAAGTCACATACGCAGATCTACAAAACGATCTTTTGAACGGCAATCTCTTTAGTCGAAGTTGCCAATCTGTGAAAAACCTTGAGATTGTGCCCTACTTTCTCCTGCACACACACACACACAGAGGAGAGAAGAGAAGAGAAGAAAACGTGATGAACAATAACATAACTGATAAAGGCTGAGCAAGAGAGAACAATCGCATATAGAGATAGAGTATAGAAATAGAAGTCAAAACCTGTATTATGAACGAGTTGCATAGGGATAGAGTCACGCTAGAGTTATAACATACTACAACTAGATGGCTAACAATACATGCAACTTTTATTCTCTAAATCTCAAGAGTTCGAGGGACTGAAATCTGAGTTTAACAGGAGACCCTCTTGGTGCAAGATAACAGTCCCTTCAAGAATGGACCCAATCAGTCAATCACACTTTGAAAGCCTATTGCTGTCTTGAATCTTGATAGCTTCACTAGCTACACTTGCAACGGGCAAACTGTCAGTTGGCCCCTCAATCGCTAGTTAGCTATAGGTGAGGTTAACTAAAACAAAATCATCAATGCTAGCCCCTACAGATGAGGCACCTAAGATTTCTTCGCCAACAATGACTTGTAGTGAAGCATTCACAAGTGAACAAACGGGACATCAGAGTTGACATATCATACAAGTCGTGCAGATCTTAAAGTCATAGGAAGAAAGCCTACTTAGAAGAAGAAATGTAATTTTTTCTTTAACCATGTAATTCTACGGTTCCTAGAATCAGTTGCAGTTCTGTGAAAATAAGACTTGATTCCTATGAACTACTACATGACAATGTTCTCGTCTATCAAAAAATCATCATCAAAGCTAGTCTCTTATTGATAAAGATGACTTGTAGGCTATATTTAACTCATTCACCATGTGGATTGCAAACAAAATATGTACAAGAATCCATAGCATAATGACCCTGATTGCAGTGAGACTAGCCCGACTCATTGGTCTTGTTGTTCCCATTTTTTTGGGGGGCTAATTTCTCATGGTCCTCGATCAAAATTCATTATGTTCCTTCCTGGTCTCACTAGTTTCCCGAGATGATATTGGTTTGGAGTCTCTAGTGTCACCTTTACTGGATTCCTTGCAAAAACTGACCTAATCTCTTCTACTTTGTCCTTGCCATGGTAGTGAAAACAGCTGCTGTTTGCGCATAATTTGTCAGAGTTACGCAAATGTTTTAAATGGAGATTGCCCAAACGCACAAAGGAATCAGTGTATATACACTAGACTTATTAAAAGAAAGAGGGGATGTTAGGGGTCGTAGAAAGAGGGGATGTTAGGAGCACGACCCGCCAACACCCCAATGCAGCTTAACCAGAAGCTCACCATCAGACCAGATGGTACGGCAGTGAACAATGAAAGATATCAGAGACTAGTGGGAAAGTTAATTTACTTATCCCAGACTAGACCTGATATATGTTTCCAAATCACTGTGAGTCAGCTTTCAAGCAATCCTCAAAAGGAACATATGACAGCAGTCTACAGATCCTGAGATACTTAAAGATAACCCAGGGCAGGGACTGTTCTTTGCAAAAGGTGATTCTAGAGGCATAGAACTATTCACTGATGCAAATTAGGCCCGATCAAGGTCAGATAGTCGATCTACAACCAACTATTGCTCCTATGTTTGGGGTAACTTGGTAACTTGGAGGAATAAGAAGCAACCAGTGGTTTCAAGGAGCTCAGCAGAATCAGAATACAGAGAATTGTCCCCAGGCATTTGTGAAGGGATATGGATTGTGCGACTCTTGAAGGAGCAAAAAATTGAGATGAAGAAACCAATATAATGTCTCAACAATTAAGATTGCTAACAATCCCATTCACCATAAGCATGTAGAAATAGATCGATACTTCATTGAAAAAAAGGTGGACAATAAAGTGATCAATTCATTATACATTCCCTCCGGCCAACAAATTGCAGATGTTATAACAAAATCTCTCACTCGAGATGTTTGAAGGCTTTAGAAGCAAGCTGGGAATGATCAACATATATTCGCCAGCTTGAGGGGGAGTGTTGGAATTGGGCTTTTTCTTCCAAGACCCAAACCTAGTTTACTTTGTGTTTAACCTAGTATCACTGATCTTGTAATCACAATCAGATTTATTGTAATCTCATTTATGTTGCTTTGTGATTGTCTAGAGGAAAATAAAGGATGCGATTAAATTCAGATTCTGGGTTTGATTGTCCCTATTCTCCCTATATATGTAATAGATTGCGGTGAATAAAAGTCAGAGCTTTTCTTCCTGCTCGGAACTTTCAGGTTGCAGAAGCTGTTCCCTTATATAGGCTTAACTCTCAACGTTCGTTACTTCAAGCAATGCGTGACCCCATTATTTACAGACGACTTTATCTCTGTGCATGTCAATTTCTCTGTCACCTCTCTTCATCCAATTCCTAGTTTCTCCTCTGTCGCCCATCCCAAGTCTCAACTCAATACTATAATACACAGGCGACTAGCAACAGGGTTTAAATGGAGCCGACGTGTAGGGGTGTGGCACAGCCAATTTACCCATAGATTTGACCGGTACTAATATAATGAGCATTAGAAACCAGATTGAACCATATCTAAGTGTAAGAGCATGATATAGCCATGTTTTAGCATATTAGGATATCTTCCCACGTATAAACTATCCAAGTTTTCATATATAGTTCGACTAATATTACAATCTATGGAGCAAATAATAACAGTCACAATTATCACACGTAGCATTATTAATAGTAATAATTTACTGATATACTGTTCATCAACACATAATTACAATTGCACAAAGTATTATTGTAGTGTTAAAGTCTATTTCTGACATAATTACAATTGGATTGTCCTACATGATATTTTGAGATATAAAATAAAAGTATATTAATTTAATTAGGACCCATTCAACCATGATTCAATCACAATTCAATCATTGAACCACGAACAAGTGCCTTAACAAGTTTAATGACCAGCCCCTTTTCTTATACTCCACAGGTCCTTAATCCTCAATGTAAGATCTAATTAATTAATTTAAGTAGATTAAGGATGTTAGTTAATTAGTTAATATGTCTAAATTACCCTAATCACCTTTCTTAATTCCACCGCTCCTCTCCTACTTCATTATTGTTAAGGAAATATCAATAAGGTTAATTTAGAAAAAAATTAATAAACATGTGAAATAGGTCTTACATATAGGACCAACATTAACTCCCTAATTAGGTCCTATATGCTCATTTCAAAAGTTGCTTTCCTGCCCAGACCAACACCCTCAGTAACAAGCCAAATTCCTAGTATGTTTGCCAGTAAAGACTTCTCCAGCCATAATGGGACTGAGACCACTACTTTCGCTCACAATGCAAACAGTGAACTATGAACTGGTGCCTCTACCAATTAAATGAACATAAATTGAATGGTCACAACACAGAAAGGAATATTATCTTAACAAAGCTGCAATCCAACCAAAAGACAGGCTCAAGATATAGGATATGGAGGGTAAGATCAATACTTAAAGATCATTATTGTTATGATTTTCAATTTTATGTTAATTAACCTTTGAATATGTGTCTTGTAGATTAGGCAATTTTAGATTATTTGCTCTTTGGCTTTTGGGATTGAACAGCCTGCTTTGAGCCTATGTTCTCATAATATATTTGAAGTCCTGTTACCATCAAATAACTTCAGAATTAATCACAAACTACACAAATTAAACTATTTTCATCAACACAATTGCTTGCTTGCTTCAACTACAATGGGAAGTTATCAGTATTTCTCCAAGGAGAACGACCATAACTCCCATAAAATAATTGAAAGGTTAAAAAGGATTGCAGGTGATAAAAGCGATGACGCCTACCTCACAAAGTACTTCAAGTCGTTCAAGGGTAGGAATTAATTTTCCACACAGTGATTCAATGTCCTGTCGTGAATCATGCTTCTCACCATACGTAATTGCTTTTGTGGTCGAGGAGGCATCGGATACAACAGAACTGCCATGGAATACAAATATTAACCGCAAGAAATTAACTAGATACCTAAGGTGTAATTAAGCAGGTAAAAGGTCTACATTGCGATGATACAATGGCAAAAATGGCTTTTACATCAAACTAATAAATCAGGATATAAAATCATTAATAATGAATTGGATATTTGATTTTGCTATTCAATGTAAATGTGCATTCAATCATCAGGATCAGAAATTTCAATGGCTCACCTCTCCTGAAGATGGATGAGGATGATGTTTAGCACATGTTCAGAAAGTAGCAGTAACAAACTTATAAGCTGATCCCTACTACCAACAACTCGACACATTTCCACCATTGCAATGTGTCTCCTGCAAAACAACAAAAGTAATAATTAATAATAATTTAAATGTAGAAGTAAAGGCAGCAGTAGGAGGAGCAGCAGCAGCAATAATAAAAATGTGTATAAAAATACAAGGGAAATGATATTAAAAAGAAAATACCATCAGTTGGCTATTTAAAACCAAAAAAAAAAAAAAAGGAAAAGGAGAAGCCATTAAATTAATGACTGATAGTTAGTTAGCATTCCATCAATTTAGACTTGCTCATTAATTACTCATTTCCTTTTTATGATATAGTGAAACATGTCCTGACTTGAATGAAAGCTAATAGACTCCAATGTAGGAACAACATTTAGAGTTTGTAGTACCTCATAATTCTTGAGTGAAAACTACTTCAACCACAAAATCTGTAGCTTACCCATACACATCAGAAAAATGGAAAGAATAATTCCCTCCAGTGTTTAAGGGAATAAGTCTACTGACAGGTTAGGACACATTGGAGTTACAAGTGCATGCAAAAGGATAACCATAATGCTAGCGCTTTCCGCTTTTCCCAATAGATTGTTGGCAGTAATGTAAACAGGATCTCTAGTAGATACTAAAGTAATCGGCAAAACTGAAAAAGGAAATATTGCATGAGTTTTGAAAGATTGTGCGCCACATTGTTCCATAATTTTTTACAGTGCCCATAGCTTTCCCGAGAATACTGCCAATGGAAAAATTGCACTTTGGCCTTTCTTTTTATTTCTTAAAAAAAAAAAATACACTTCCTCTTTCTTCTCTTCTCTCCCTCACTATAATCAATCATAGCTTTGCTTTTGCGTCACAAACGTTCCTCTCAACAAAATACTTTCTTTGTTTATTACTTCCCATAACTTTATATTTTATGATGAAAAGACGCATTATATGCGCAAGCACGCACGCACAATGTCTCATGCCTATTTACCTCATTCCCTTTGCTTACTCCAAATCAGCATACATCACATCAAACTAATATGATAATAATTGTTATAATGAATATAATTTACTCGTAATATATGCGAGCTTGGCCATTATCCCTGACTCTATACACCAACATTTTTCAGTTTTCTTGAACTATGACTCCACATTTCTGGAAATAATATAGCACTATGATTTACCTTTTTTGTGTATTGTCTGAAGATGAAATACACTCCTGCCGAACACACATATTGATGATTTCATCAACTTCCTGCCTTGATAATTCATTTATATCTCGAATCTGGAAAACCATATGCATGATGTTACTAGCACATCAACATACAATGACAAAAATGGTAAAACAGTGGGCTGCAAGAAATAGAGAATGCAGTTTTCTCCCCAAATTGCACCTTATTTAGTAGCAAGGATTTCTCCTCAGCAGCTCTTTCTAGACTAGCTGTAACAGATGTAAGAAGAGAATTGAGTTCGCCCAACGAGGGTTGTTGCATTTCAACAGAAGTGGGGTAACTGGAGGAGGCCTCTGAAGGCTGCAAAAAAGAAAATTAAAGATAAATTAGCCACCCTGTATAATTGGCCTCATTAACTGCTTCCTTTTTAATTTATACATGCCTTACCTGCAATCTCAAAGATTTCTTTGTGACCAGAAAATATAAATAAGAGCTGAGGCTGAAGCATAAACGAAACTTTTGTAGCTCTGAATTCCTCTGTTTCTGATTATCCATCAAGTAATGTGATCATTCAAAGATTAGAAATCAAATGTGTCAGAATCATCCAATAACTAATTGTAACTTCAAAACCAATTAAGAAGAAAACTGCAAATACACCTCGGGAGATAATACTACTATTGATTGAGCAAAAATAGACACGTCCACGTCATGAGAGAAAATTGTGTGCATCAAACCAAAAAGACCTTGAACAAAACCATAACCATTACTCTCTTCATATGGCCAAACCTACAAAAAGAGAGAGATAGGGTTCAAATTGCAACCAGCGCACAATCAAAATGAAAGCCAAAACAAATTCCAGCTTCATGGGAAGGGGAGATGACAAATATCAGTAGGCAGAAATAGGCAGGCATTTATATTCAATGTGCTATTAAGACTGCAATAATTTGGAATCTGGATAATAGAAGATAGAGTCTTTCACATAATACAATTCCATTCAATACTTTTGGCATGGAAGCAAACCAAAATATACCCATCTGAAACTGTTCTACTACTTAAGAAATCAACAAAGCGAGTGAACATTTACCTTGCTAAGTATTCCAACAACAAGATTGATCTGCTCCAGTTTTAATCCATCTACTTCAGTAATATTTACACGAAGAAGTTGATCAAAGAGCGATTGATGCCCTTTGACAAAATCAATAACTTCACGGACAAACTTATTCTTCACCTACAACAGACACAAAGACAACACGTTTTCATCAATGGACCAATAATTATCATTTATTCTCTTACGCAAAAACAGAGAAATAAACATGTTTTGGGCCAAACAGAGTAGACGATATAAAGGTTAGACAAAACATAGGGAGAGAAAAAGCACTCACCATGTTTTAACTTTAAAATTCCCCACAAGCACTTGTAATAAGTTTTTTGCTACTCAATTTGATCAATGTAACCAACATTTCTAAAAGACTTGAATAAGCTTATCACGGAGGCAACAAAATACAAAAATAATTATTTGTTAAGAAAAATTATTAAGGACCGGAGGTAGTATTCCTACTTCTACAGCCAAAAAACATACAGTCGCTGGAGAACCAACAATAACATAACTCACACAATCATCACTGTCCTAAAACAAGTATCCAATTGTAGAAGTGAAGAGTAGATAAGAGATCAACCATCATCCGATAGCAAATGATGATTCACTATCAGGAAATGGCCACAACTCAGAAAGCCAATTGAAAAACTGGGGAAAATATTATGAAGGCCAACCTCCAAAAAATTTGATGCATCCACCAAGGAAGTTAATGAAAAGACTAATCTCAAAACTGGAGTGACAATCATTTGTTGCCTGTCAACATCCACAGCCATATCTCTTCGAAGTCTTGTCTCAACCCGCCTAAACCCTCCCTGTAGATACTTCTGCTTCAGTAGAGTTAGCTGACAAATGAAAAGTGATGCTAACAACTAAATACCTGTAGACTGATTGCCCTGCCTGAGGCAAGATGATCCAGAATGCCCATGGAAAATAATACCTGGGCTCCAGATTTACCATACTTATAACTGATCCTTAAGAGTAAGGCAAGCTCAGCCTCAAAGGTACAGGCTCGTTGCAATGAGTCTAGTGAATGCCCACCATCCTTGAACAAGAAAAGAGACAAATAGCATCAATGAAAAGTTATCAGAACACATACACCAAGAATATCTCAAGACACTTGCTTTTCAGACATCAATGATTTGCTCGAAGTTATCATGCATTTCAAAATTCAAATCGGAAGGAAAATTTAAAAAGAAAAGAATAATCTCACATAAACCTAAACAGTAGTCTAGTTGTGCATATAATATGCTTTTGGATCCCTTTACATAACTTAAGCTTCTGAGGAACAAGGGGTCTCAGCCTTTTCAGGCTTACATGGATAAAGATTTACTCCTGCACTTATCAAAACACTACATTACAAGCTCATCCAACTACAGGTTTAAATCAGGATTAGCACGAGTCTCGCCAATTCTGCACATGCCGGCATGTGTGGCCAGAATGTAGACAACGATGAAATCATGTGATGATCTCATTTGGTGCATATCTACAGTGGATGTCACCAAAGCACCAAAAATGGTGTCAAGGATTAGAGGTGTGAATGAGGTCAATAAAGGGTCTAATTGAGATGAGGCTAATGGTGTGTGCAAGTGAAAGAAAAGGCAGGGTATCTTTGTATTTTGATAATTCTTGAATGAAGGGAGAATGAAACTCAATTGTTTAATACACAGATGTTCAGCCAATACAAATAGGGCTGTTGGGATGCAAAGATTAGTTGTAATATCACAAATTCTAGCCAAGAAGTTAGGCGACATAATGATATCTAAAAGATACATCTAATCTGGTATTCTAAGAAAGAAAAAACCAAAATTAAATAAATAATAGCTACTGTTCAGAGAAGACGCTAACAATTCTCAAAACATGGGAATAGGCATTGATCATTAAGGAAAAAAAGAGAGAAGATCTCATTCTTAATTATGAGGGAATGAGACTTCCCGTGAGAAAAAGGATTCTAAATAAAAATTGCCTACCAAACAACCCAAGTGTCCGAAGGAATCACGTTTCCATTCTAAAGGCCCTAGAGAAACGATCCAAACAGACTTTAGATCTACCAACTTTTAACAAACTTAAAAATGAGAAGTGAAGAAAAGAACAAACTTGGTTAAAATAACTAGTTAAATTAAATAACTTCAAGATAATGAAGAAGCACGCAGGTAGCATCATAACCAAAAAAATAGGGCAAAAGAATCAACAAATAAATCAGAACCAAATGGAATGAAAAAATAAAACTCAGAACAATAGCACCACAGTGTCTAATTTTTTTTTTTTTTTTTAATTAGACAGGCGAACAATGTGAGGTTACAAGCTCAACCGCACAACATCCCACTTATCGGCGAGCTTTTCATATCACTAGGATACCAGGCCGTTGGTAGGGTGTCTAATGCTATGTTTTGAAGAATTGCAAGGGAATGTGATTGGGAAGAAAAATTATCCTCGTGCCTTGGCTAAAAAAAGAATTATCCAGGGGCAAACACAATTGATAATAATAAGAAAAAGAGAAGTCTCATTTTCCTCGAGTACATTCCTTTTTATTTACCATCCACCAAACAAATAATAGCCAAAAGATAGAATGAATTGTTTATGGTGCACTGAACAAAAACCTGATTTGAAAAATTGCTTATGCTCGTTAAGCAAGACCTTAAAAAGCCCCTGCTCTGAAGTTGGTTCAAGAAATATCTGTCCTGATCTATACAAATCAGCGCATCCAAAACATATACTGCTATTGTCTTCCCAGGTTCACTTCCATGAGTAGCATCTTTTATGACCTAAAATTTCAAATTAGAAAAATTAGAAACTGTAAACAGCGGAGTTTATAATATAAAATATATAAACAAACTAACTAATCAACTAAATTGGATTGTAAAGAATCAGGCATACAAAACACCAGAATATAAAAATAAAAATGGAAAACCAAAAAAAAAAAAAAATGAAATGGATAGGACAAGTAAAATCAAGAACTGAACATACAGTAGTGTAATGAAAGAATACAGAAAATTTGCAGAATATTATGAGAAAACGGCAAAACATGCGCCTCATTGTCATACAGATTTTGATCAAAGAGGAAATCAAATATCTCCAACACATTCTAAGCAGTTCAAACAAAGATAAGTCATTTCCACTCAAAGTAAAGACCCTTCTCAAACTCCTATATTGAAAAATTACGGAAAAAGCCAGAAGCATATTGAAATTCTATTAAGCTACTCACTAAATCCACGATGCTCTGAGCCTCTTTCCTTAAAGTAGAAAAATTTGCGCGAGCTAGTTCTGCCTGTTCTTTGTCAATCTGGGGAAAAGGAAAACATCATATGCTGAGGAGTTAAATATCACTAAATTCCCCCCCGGGGGGGGGGGGGGGTCAAGTTCAAATGGAAGAAAATAAACCTTTGGGAGATCAATATATTCATTATCTTGTTCATTGAGCAGCAAGAATTGCAGAACTGTGGTTGGGACATCTGGATCAACCACATTCTGACAATACTGAAAATAGCTCAGAAGCAATGCATATTGACTGCAAAAGACATGCAATGGTAAGTTTTCTTACTAAGCTGAAAGTAAAAATGAAAATGCAGCCATCTCTAGTGACTTAAGTAGTAACATACCGTCTCCTTAAAGCTTCGGACGATTCAGGTCTAAGAATTGCCATGATAAGTTTAAACAATATGGTAAGACAAGCACCATTGGATAATTGCTTTGCCACAATAAGATCAAGGCACATGATGCTGTCAGAATTCAGGCTTCCAGGGAACAAAAACCTCTCATCTTGTAATTTAGCCATGCATGTTAATGCAACCTGACAAAATTTTATAAATGAACAGGTTTGAAAGGTTGCAAGCCCCATTGAAAAATTTAGAAAATTTGCAGACAAGAGTATATATTTACTTGGGATAATATAAATGCCATCTTTAGTGAACAGTCAGGAGAAGCAGATGCAGTAAGAGATGCATCAAGAATCCTGCCAATGAAATGTAAGTTACAGAAAGCACAACAACAAGAAGCACAATCACAAATGGCGGCTTTCATTTTGCCAATTGAACACAAGTGACTTACTGAAATAGAATTTCAGAACGATCCTCAAGCATTGTCAATCTTCTAGAAGCAGATATCTGGAAAGTTGATTAGCAGGAGCAGATAGCATAAAGTTAGATAATATAGCTGATGCAAATAGATATGCGTTAAAGTTGGATCATTAAGGAAGTGGATGATCACGCTCTCACTATCCTTTGGAAGTTACAACGTTATCAACAGGGTGCAGAGTTTTTTAGAAGGACGTAATTTCCAAATATTACCTTTATGTAAAGGATAAGCAAATGAAGAAGGATAAAAAAAATGCGGAGGAAATAAAGTAAACGAATAAATAAAAGGTGTTCAACACATCAAAAGGCTCATAATTTGGAAAGATTGAAAAGTAGGGTATGGCATAAGTTGGGATCTCAACCCAATGAAACCCACCTTACCCCACACAATACTTTTATTTTATATATATAGATAAATGGTTTGGATACTACACCCACAATGTCCCACTGCTTTTCTTCAGCCCAGACAATGTAACGGAAGACTAGTCCAGAAAGGTATGATACCTTATGATGGAAAACCATTCCAGAATAGTATTATTCAGATATAATCTTCTCCATAGAGCATAGTCTTGTGGAGGAATTACACTAAACAAGAGAGACAGACACACTTCCACTCTCCTCACTACTCTCCAGTAATTTCCATGCTCCCCTCAAACATTTCCCCTCTCAAATACACACCTATCCCTTCCAATTGTCATCTAGTCATTGCCACAAACGCCCATCCTCACATGTTCTGCATCACCTATTCAGTTATTGGGCTTCCTCCTATAGTAAGTAAAGGTGGGCCCGTGTCCAACACAATGCTTCAGAAAAATACGCACGTCAGTCCATCCACAAACAATCCATTTCTTTAATTAATATCCTTGGCACACCTCAACGTGTGAACTCCCATTGGATTTGAACCATAGAGATAAAATAAGCCCACCGTACTTTGTTAAAATTTAATATGACTAGGAGAATGTGGAAAGCAAGAATCAAACAAGTCATCCTCAGTCTCTAACGCTCATACTAACCACAGATCATGCCATGCCAAAAGCTTAAGCAATTACATGAATGCCCAGGATTGGTTTTTCGGAACAAGATGGGAGGAAGGAAGCACACCTCGACAATCTGGGACCAGGCAGTTAACATATGGAGTTGTGCAGCTTGTTCCTCAAGATTCTTATTATATTTCCAACCCCATCTCATCAGCTGTTGAATTGTTTGTTTAACATCATTAATTTCAACTCCACTGCCAAGATTACTCAGTTGGGGATATGCAGAATTAAATTTCTGGAACAAAAATCAAATTAGATTTCTCATAATATTTAATACCATAAAGAAGAAGGCACAAGATATCTTGTCCCAGGAATACATAAATGAAGTGTGAACTAACCAACACATAGAATACTGAACAGAACCAACCTGCCAAAGTTTGTCATGGAATGAAGCTAAGTCAATTAGCCGGTCACCTCTCTCAGAATAGTAGTAGACACCACCCTTTCCAGAATTTGCTGGATTCCCAAGTATGTCTTCGGCCTAAAATATGTGCAAACAGCAGAGCAGAGACACAATGCAGAAGAGTATGATGAACATAGCCAACAAAAAGAATCTTGGTACAATATGTATTCCATACCAAGAAATAAGCTTTTTACTAAACATTAATAAGATAAAAATGAAGAGGAGAAAAACAAACATGATATGTAATGTAGTTTATAGACAACATCTCACCAACAAGTCATACTTCATACTAGGCACAATGTTTGAAAGCTTTGTAGTGGTATCTGGGGATCTGAATTGGATGATTTTTCAAGCAATTCTAAGACCTGCATTTCGAATAAGAAAAAAAATACATAATGATAAACAGAGGGGAAAGACAGTAAGACAACTTTAGCTAAGAATAGAAAGGAGTACAGTATTAGTAGGTAATAACAAAACTATACAGACACAAACAACACAATACATTCTTGATTACACTTAACAGAGGTGAGACAAAACATACTCTGCCGATGCTTTATGGCGCATAATTAGACTAGACTGGGTAGGGAATGATAATAAACATTATAAT